CAGACGTGTGCTCTTCCGATCTCCCCAAAACCCCAAAACCCCAAAACCCCTAAAATTATATAATATGATGAAATAAATGATTTGCCTAAAATAAATTTTAATAATAAAAAAATGAGTGAAAAGAGCAAGAACTTGTAGTAGCCAGAACTAAGGCTTAGTAAGTCAGAAATCGAAAAAAAATTCATAGAGCAGCTTTAATATGAAAATGATTTGAATATTAATGATATTGACTAAATTTCTTTGAATTCATTTGCCAGCAATGATCATGAAATAGAAGCCTTAATGGATAAAGGGAGTGTGTTTGAGTATTTCCCTGCTAATTAATAATAGTCAGATTAAATATAAGGAGAGGATACCTAACTCACAAGTAATCTATAAAATTTTGAGGAGATAATGAATAAGATTGAATAAAAGAAAAATGAACTTAAAACTAAACAATAAAAAGATAATCTAGCAAATACTAAAGAAATATTGATCATTAATTCAACAGAGTGTAGCCCGGTTAGTAAGAGCCCCAATAATATAAATGTCCATGAAATAGATTTTATAGAAAGCTAAAATGTGACCCAATTCTAAGAATTGAAATAATTAGGATCAGAGAAAAAGGAGACATCATAAATTAGCTTAACTAATTAAGACCCAAATAAAATCAATGATTTAGACAAAAATACTCTTGAAATTGAAAAGCAAAAATCTAATCATGATTCAGAATCATAACAGGAATTATAAGATGAGAAACAACTTCCAAAATCGAGGTAGAGTTAAGTTAGTAAGCTAAGGTTAGATTTGGTCTAGGATGAATGGTAGAATATTGTATAAGAAGTGTGGCATGAGAAAATAGACCATCATCAATTAATGACTCAACAGATAAATTTAATGCAAGATTAGTAAGATACAATTGAATTGACTATTGATGAAATACTCTTCTCTCAAATATTGAACACTAGATTCAAGAATATTGAAAAGATAACTGCATTTGATCTAAATCTCATCAAATACAAGAATTTATTGCTAGATGATGTAAAGCTTAAACTTTTTAAAAACTCAATTCAAGAATTCATCAACATAGCCATTGTCAATTATAGACTCGGTTTATTGGATGATGCTCTGAAATTGATTAACAAATTGAATGAGCAAACTAAACATATGACTCCAGTTTAATTATATCAAGTTTAAAAGCTAGAAATAATAACACTTATAAGAATTCTATAGAAGTAAGCTCAATTAAAATCTGTAAATGATAAGATGTTTAAGCAAGCAAAATCTGTAATGACTCAAATATTAAAATCAAATCATCAAGATAGAATAGAGGTCTTAATTCTCGAGCTTTTATTGAATATAAATAACCCCTCTAATTAGCTATTGAATACACTTAAGGATATAGATTTGGTAAGTTATTTTGTGATCAAGAACTTAGCGAGATTTGAGAGTTTAAAAAACCAGACAATTAAAGTTATTGAAATTGACGATAAAGATGAGGTAGTTTACAGCACAAGATATAGATTTTACTTAAAGACCTTTAAATTACTCTCAAGCTATTAGCAAAATGAATACTTCAAGGCCAATGAATTTCTTTAGTTCTTGATTGTCATAAATAAACAAGAATAACTAATAGGAAGCGATGATGTTTTTGACATTCTAAATAATAAGCTGATGAAAATGCTCGAACAAGAGGAACATGCAATAGGCTATTGTGCTGATTAAATCCTAGCTAAAAGCTAAAATGCCTACCTTATCTATTAATTTATAAAACTGCAAATCTAAATAAGCAAAAAGTCTGATAAACAATAAGATCTTATGCATTAACTAATTCAGGTTAGCAAGTTTAGAGACATACCTGATAATTTAAAAATAAAGATCTATCTTTTGATTATCAAGCTAAGTAGTAGTGTTCAAGTCTTCTCGATATGCAAAAAGTTCTCGAACAGACTTTATAGACTATCACATTTGTTGAAGGATGAAAAAAAATCTATGATTAAATTTTAACTTGACTACTTCAAATGTGATTCATTGGTTCTTGAAAAATAATTCTAAATTAATCAAGATTAAACGTCCTATTTTTATTCTACACTATTCAAATTGAGAAAACTAATAAAAATTTCTCTTAAAAATAAGTCACTTAGCATGGACATAATAGAATTAAAAGGAGTTTTAGAAAGCATACTGAATGATAGATACTTAAGTTTTTACTGTTAAAATATTAATCAGCTGATATAGCTTCCTTACTCTAGTAAAAAAAGGGATCTCTAGAAGAGCGTAATTAGTTATGATAAGTTTCATTTAGATACGAGCAGTTTTTAAAAAAATTACTTAACTTAGAGATTTTCTTATCACGATAACTATTAAACTCATCATCACAAGAAAAGTTCATTAAACTATGATAATCCCTTTGTTGAATCTAGAAAATAAGAAAATTTAATCACATATAATTCATAACAATCAGATGATCCATTTAGAAATCATTCATATCTGAAAAAATATGAAACAGAAGAGGCAGGAGATGAGGTACATGATGACTCGTCAATCATAGTAGAAGACTTTTAAGCCTATAATGAAGATGAAAACTCAGTAGAATTAATAGCTGATTAAATCTAGCATAGGAATAAGATTATGGAGGAGATAAAATAGTAAATAGAAGCTTAAAATGCTCATTATTTAAATAATTAGGAATTAACAGAAGGACGATTATCAATTTAAAATTTGCTAAATTCTAGGTAAAGAGCATCTGTCAATCAAGTAAATGAAATTATCTTTGATGAGTAATATCTACTTTACATTGGAATAGGATGCTATTTAGCAGAATAAAGTTAATATTTGGGTATAATTTGCTTAAAGATGTATATTTAGATTGTTCAGTAAAATGATAGAGATTAGAAATTGAAGATTGCAATGCTATTTTTAAGTGCTCTTGAGAAATAGCTTGAAAATCTTAATTTAGAATAATCACAACCCATTTATTAAATGTGGATGGCTACATTTAAAGATTATTTAAGCCTCCCAATTAGACTGCCTCAAGAAATTGAGATTGCATAACTTCTCGAAAAAGAATTGGAAAAAGCTCTGCCAAATATAGATGGTGATATGACTGTTAAAGTGGATTATTTTTGAAAGACTCGAAATTTAATTGAGGAAAAGTAAAAGAAATTAATTTGTTTCATTAAGTAGTAATATTGTCATTGAGTAGACACCTATATATATATTGATTACCCTTTATCTCATAATCGAGTATTGAAAGTACTTTATCTTAATATTCCATCAGACTATTACAGAATTGCTCAGCGGGGTTTTGGGGTTTTGGGGTTTTGGGG